AATTATGTATAAATATGACCATTTAGAGATTGAATTTATAAATAATTCTTTATGAAATGAAAACAGCGTATGGTTTTGTAAGGGAGAGTCCAAACACAAATCTCTGAGGAGGAGGGACAGAAAGTACAGACGTCTTCAGATGCCACGTGGTGCCCTGGATAAATGAGTTGGGATATAAAGTGGTGGGGAGTGGTAGGGGCACCCTGATGGTGAGTGGAGCACACTCTAAAAGCATGAACACTTAAAATTAAAAACAGAAACATGGTCCGAATTCTGTGGCTGCCATCTTTGAGTTTGGCATCATCCTACACGTGTTAAAACAAATAAGCAAAAAGAAAGTGTATTTTAGAAAAGAAATGCCCAGAAATGCCCAGGAAAAAGTCCTGGAAGGTAGTAATCCACAAGTTAACATTGATGGCCTCTTAGTGTTGTTTTCACAGTGGTCTTCTATTATCTTTATATTTCTCTGAGTTTATTCCCCCCATCAGCATTTTATTTTATTTGAGGAAATACCAAAAAAGTGCCCCTTTTTATTACTAAAGTAATACATTTTCATTACCAAATTTTCAAGTGGTGCTGAAGTAGATTCAACATGATGTTCAAGTTTCTCTTCTCCCTTCTCCTCTGTTATCCTTTTTGAAGTTTCATTCATTCAGCCTTCACACACACACATATTTCTTCATATATCTACATTTGTGTGTGTGTGTGTGTGTGTGTGTGTGATCTCCACTGGATTAACTTATTTATTTATTTTTAGAGTTGGGGGTCTCAGTCACCCATGCTGGGGTGCAGTGACATGATCATAACTCACTGCTTCCTCAAACTTCTGGGCTCAAGTGATCCTCCTGCCTCAGCCTCTCAAGTTGCTGGGACTATAGGCGTGTGTCACCATGCCTGACTAATTCTTTCATGTTTTGTAGAGACAGGGTCTCACTGTGTTGCCCAGGCTTTTTTTTTGAACTCCTGGGCTCAAGTGATCCTCTTAGCTGCACCACCCAGAGTGCTGGGATTACAGGGTGAGCCACTGCCCAGCCAGTCTCCATTGGATTTATTAATACTTCTCCCCAGGACCTGGATATCCAATTGCTTACTAGCTGCCTTCACTTTGATTACATCTGAAGTGTCTGAATTGGCATCTGAAAGATAATGTATATCAAATCAAGGTCTTCATTTCTTGCCATGCTTGAACTTGTTCCTTCCTCACATTTCTTCTTAGTAAATGTTATGTGTAGTTATTGGGTGGGTAAGGCAAGAGCCAAATTGTCATTCCTGGTATTTATCTTTCTCTCAAAACCCTGCATTCAGTCTGTCAACAATCCTGTCATCTTTACTTTCAAAATAAAACCAGAATCTGAAAATTTGGTCCTCTGTGTCCACTGCTGTTACTCTCTGGCCAAACCACCACCCGCTTTGCCTGTCTATTGCAGGGGTTTTAGCCAATCTTCTTGTTTTTGTTTTTGTTCCTTTAATGTCAACTTTCCACTTTGTAGCCAGAATGATCCTGTTAGGGCAGAAATTACGCCATCCTTATGCCCAGAATTCTTGCCTGGCCCCTTATCCCACTCAGATTGTGTAACTCAGCGACGCCAGCGACCTGCCTGCACATTCCAAACTCAGAGTCGTGCTGACCTGTGGGCGCGGCTCTTCCTTCACCTGTGAGGTGCACACGGGCCTGCTCCCTTGCTCGACTGTGGTCTCTGCCCAGATGCGCTTCCTAAGAGAAGCCTTCTCCGACCACTGCTGCCAAAATATCTCCCTGTTACTACTGTCTTCTGCTGCTGCCTTATTTTTCTTCATTGTTCTTAACACCACCTAATGTTATATTTTATATTAATTTTTGATCATCTGTCTCCATCCATTCCCAAGTACAACACAGGCTCCATGAAGAACTTTGCTAGATTTGTTCAGTGCTGAGTCTCTGAAGACAGTACTTGGCATACACAAGGTGGTCAGTAATTTTTAAAATAAATAAATGAATAATTAGGCCTGAAACATTTATATGTGTGTGTGTGTGTGATGTGATTACATATTTCTGCATCTGTATATGTATGTATTTTAAAAAATTTCTCCCAATTCATAATCCTTGAAACTTCCATTATCACCAGCTATAGCGGAGAGACTACTGCATTCCTTATGTTCTCTTCATATATTTTTTTTTGGTAACATGTTCTTGTCAAGTGTTTTTCTTGATGTTCAGTTTAATCTGATTTTGACTGCCACAAAAATGCAAAAAGGAAATGCAGGAATGATTTTTACAACTGAAACTTAAAACAATTTTAGAGCAAATAAGAGCTCAAGCCAGGCATGGTGGTTCATGCCTATAATCCCACCACTTTGGGAGACCAGGGCGTGAAGATCGCTTGAGCCCAGGAGTTTAAGACCAGTCTAGGCAACATAGTGAGTCTTTATCTCTCCAACCCTCCCCACCAAAAAAATTAGTAAGGTGTGGTGGTACACACCTGTATTCCCAAGCTACTCAGGAGGCTGAGGTGAGGGGATAGCTTTAGCCCAGGAAGTTGAGGCTGCAGTGAGCTGGAGTTGTGCCACTGCACTCCAATCTGGGCAACAGAGTGAGACCCTGTCCCTCAAAAAACAAACAAAAAAACAAAAAACAGTCTGATAGATCTTGATAATTTGGAAAGGTTATGTAATTTCTGGGAAATCTCAGATACGAGTATTTCACCAGGACCACATGGTTTCCTCTACTAAATGGAGGGAAGTATAGCTCCAGTTTCTACTTAAGAATGTTCTGGACTTGTTGGATTCATTAGTTTTACCATTAGTTTCCTTATCACTATGGCTGGTTGGACTTTTGTAGGGTTATTTTTCTCCTCACCAAAAAGTTAAAACTTTTATTATTTGCATAACCCATAATGGATGGATTACTAGGTTTAGTCATTAGCTGTATTTTCTCTTCCTCCATAAGCCAAATAACATATGATTCTGTTTTTTGACCCAGTTGATTTACAGTATGTTGCAGTTCATGGGTTTGTATGATTACTAATGCATATTTAAAATTGTGAATATTAAATCCATGAAGATCAAGTGCCTATAATAATATTTCTTATGTTAGAGTATCCAGCCTTTGAACTAAGACATGCCAAAGGCTAAAAAGAAAAATATTTTAAAAATATATGAATTTTAGGAGTTTACCCCTAAGTTCCCAGGTCTAGCATCTCAGAGGGAGCTTTGGGCTTTACTTTTATCAGTGCTGCCACTAAGAGACTAGGTGATTTAATGCAAAGTCCTTAGCTTCTCCAGACATCAGTCTTTTCAACCTTGATTCAATCCAGCGTCTGTGTTGCCTTTGTCATATCTTTTTAGTTGTCTTTCATCTAGAACAGTTCATTAGCCATTTCTTTTGACCTTGGTATTTTTGAAGGAGGCAGACTAGTTGTTTTGTAGACTGTCCATTGATTTTTCCTTTCTCCAGTTTCTCATTAATAGATTTAAGTTACATACCTTTGCTTGGAATAGCCTTGAGGTGATGGTGTGAATGTGTCAGTATATCATATCCCAATACTGGTGGTGATAACTTTGATCATTTGGATAAGGTGGTGTCTATCGGATTTTTCCTCTGCAAAGTTACTATTCTACCCTTTGTAATTAGTAATTCACCTATGTGAATATACAGTTCCTTTCTCTATATTCTTATATGTATTTTAATTGAAAATGCAAGATTCTATTTATACTATATGTAAAGAGCATGTTTTT